TGGCATACAGAAAAGCCATTGATTTTTTAGGGTTAATTTTATACCCTGCTACTTTGCCAAAGTTTTGAATCAGCTTGAGTAATTTGGGAGTGGAGTCTGTGGGATTCTTTAAATACAAGATCATGTCATCTGCAAAGAGGGAGAATTTTACTTACTTCTTCTTTCCCTATTTGGATCCCCTTTATGTTTGCATCTTGTCTTATTGCTGTAGCTAGGCATTCTAATACTAGGTTGAAGAGAAGCGGAGAGAGCGGACATCCTTGTCTCGTTCCTGAGTTAAGAGGAAATGGCTTTAGCTTTTCACCATTGAGTATAATGCTGGCTGTAGGTTTGTCATATACAGCTTTTCTTGAATTGAGGAGTTTTCCCTGGATTCCTAATTTTTCCACAGCCTTCATCATAAAGGGGGGGGATTACACCTTGTCAAATGCTTTTTCTGCATCTATTGAGATAACCATGTGGTTCTTATCCTTGCTCCTGTTGGTGTGATGAATTATATTAATTGATTTGCCTATATTGAACCAGCTTTGCATCCTGAAATGAATCCTGTTTGATCCTGGTGTACGATTTTTTGGATGAATTGTTGTAGTCGATTGGCAAAAAAAATTTTTTTTCGTGTGCAGCCGTCTTTTATTGTGAAATACACGTCTTCTTTATCCTTGTGTAAACCCGGCATGTCCCACACCGTGCAAGTACAGGAGACATGACTGTGAGGACCCCCTCCTGGGGCGGGACAGAGCCAGCCACCTCCACGGCCTTCTAGAAGCCCACAGAAGGGGTGCTCGCCATGTAGACAAGTTACAAAAGCCCAGATTGGCCAAAATTTTGTTGAGAAGTTTTGCATCAATGTTCATTAAAGAAATGGGTCTATAGTTCTCTTTCTTTGATGAGTCCCTGCCTGGTTTTGGGATGAGGGTTATGATGGCTTTATAGAATGAGTTCGGTAGTGAACTTTCTCTTTCAATTTCATTGAAGAGTTGGAGGAGTATTGGTGTGAGCTCTGCTGTGAAGGCCTTGTAGAATTCCGCTATAAGTCCATCTGGTCCTGGAATTTTATTAGCTGGGAGGTCTCTTATTTCTGTTTCTATTTCAATGCTTGATATGGGCCGGTTAAGTTGGTTTTACTCATCTTGGTTTAGTTTTGGCATGTCAATATTTGCTAGGAAAAGGTCCATTTTTGCCAAGTTCTAGAACTTATTAGCATAAAGTTTTGAGAAGTATTCCCTTATAATGTTCTGAATCTTGGTTGTTTCCGTGGTGATGTTTCCATTCTCATCTCTGAGTTTATTTATTTGGATGTTTTCTCTTATTTTTTTGATAAGATTTGCTAAGGGTCTGTCAATTTTGTTAATCTTTTTGTTGGGGGGGTCCAGTCATGGGGCCTGAACTCTGGGCCTGGAAACTGTCCCTCAGCTCTTCAGCTCCAGGCTAGAGCTCTACCACTTGAGCCACAGCGCCACTTCCGGCTTTTTTTCTTTTTGCTTATGTGGTGCTGAGGAATCAAACCCAGGGTCTCAGGCATGCAAGGCAAGCGCTCTACCACTGAGCCACCTTCCCAGCCCCTATCCCCCAGAAAAATTTCTACAAATCTCTTTTCTACTCAGTCTCTCTGATTTTTTCCTGCAGATTAATATGGCATATTGTGTGCAGAAAAACAAAATATATGCTAACATTTATTTACTCATTCAATACAGTTTTGTATACCACCTACTTTATGCCTATAGGCACACATGGGATATTTTTGTACTGTGAGTAAATGAGTTCTCTTGACACATTAAAGGCCAAAGGTATTATTAGACCTGTGAACTGTTCAGCTCTCCAGTCCTTAAGTCACTTGAGAGATCTTCTCAGAAGCAGAGATGCAGTCCTGTGCATGAGCCATCTGAGCCTTGGTTCCTTCCTGCCTATCTTCCTCCAACTTCCAGACTGGCCCTGGAAGCCTCTCAATAGCCCTACCCCCACCCCCTCACTTCCCATGCCAGGGCTTCATCCATACTTCTCCCTCCAGGTGTGCAGAAGGTGTCTCAATCTCATCCAAGCCAAGCTCAAGTGGGTAAAAGTGGAAATGGGTAGGCAGCTGGGAGGACCTGGACAAGCAGAGCTGGTTTGTGGTCCTGCAATCATGGGGAAAGGTGTCAGAGGGGGCGGAGACTCCACAGTGACTGGAGAAGAAAATCCTGAAGAGAGGAATCATCCAGGCCACCTGATTAGTCAAGCCTGAGAAGCTGAACAGCACTTGTCTGGAGCCACTGAGATCCTGGGCATAATGTTCTTGCCTACCAAGAAGGACCTCAAGGCTGCCATGGAGTTCTTTGCTGTTTTCCAGTGGGCCCTCAGTGCCTTCATTCTAGGTGAGTCTTTGGGCAGTCCTAGAGTGACCAGCCATTTTGGCTCTTACTGGGGACTGAAGAATTTTAGGTTGGTAGGATTTTCTCTTTCAAATGGAAATTGTCTCATGCAAAGCAAGACAGTTGGCCACCTTGTCCTGTGGCTTCACCTATATGAGCTGGGCATTCATGGGCATGGGTATTTACATATGGGTATTGCATGTGGAGGAGTGCGAGCATGTGTGTATGCACAGGTGTTTTGCTTCAGCTCTCCTAGGTGTACACTGGGGCATAAAGTACACGTTAGAGGGTGGTGGGGAGTAGGTCTTCTGAGGCCACCCAAGGAGAAGGGCCTGCCTATAACTTCAGGAACTCAAGCAAATCATGAACCACGAAGTGTGTGTGTGGTGTGTGTGTGTGTGTGTGAGAGAGAGAGAGAGACAGAGAGAGACAGAGACAGACAGACAGAGACAGAGACAGACAGACAGAATTGACCTGATAGCAGAGGAGGGCGCTAAGTACTTGTCATCCAGATTTATTCTTCCCTGTCCAGAGGTTCTTGTGAGTACTGGCAGGACTCAAGGGCATGAATTAAATGGCCTTGTAAGTAATGGGGCAGGCTCTGGGAACTCGGAGATAGCCTAGGGGCATGGCAATGACGCAAAAGGGTGGGCATTACTTACCTTACCATCAGCCTAGAGACCTGAGAACAGAGGCTTACCATGCCTGGGAGGGCACCAAGACTCCCAGTATTGAGAAAAACAGTGTTAAGGAACCTAGAAATAATGGTGACTGGAGCTGGAAAGGCTGGAAAAAGGGAATTTATATATATATTTTTCACATCTCCCTTACTTTGTAAAATTGCCTTAGATTTTCACATCCGTCATTTTATTAGCTTATACCAACCTGACCAGGTAAAGCTATTATCATGCATAATAATTATTCAAATAGAGACACACATATTGGTAGCACTCATCTAAATAGCTAAAATTTATTGCCTACTCCTACCCCTTTTCAGGCCAGATACTATTCTTAGCCCCATAAGTGGCTAACAATCTCCACTGTGTACATAAGGAAGCAGAAGTCCATGAAGTACATGTAGTCTGTACATGTAGTACACATGTTATGTCCAACATCGCTTGACTAGGAGTTGGAAGAGCTGGACTAGGTGTTGAGTTCTTGGAGTCTCAGTCCTGTTTGTGAGTTTCTTTCTTTTTCTGTAGAGCCTGCAGTTGTGCACTGGACTAGAGAGGAAGGAGGAAGCTTGGCCTCTGCATATGTAAAAGCCCCTGTCTGAAAAAAATGAAAAGGGCCAGCTCAGAATGGCCTCTTGCTGAAGACAAGGCTCCAGCTGAGCCTGTGAACTCCCTTACCATGTGATCCAGGCCAGCATGTCCTCAAGAAGGACTGACTCTCCACCTGGCTCAGGGAAATTCTTCACTGTCTCCCTCAGAGGAGAAGGCTGAGGTGAAGGAGCCAGGAGAAGGGATGGACAGAGCAGGTTCCTATCAGGGCTGGGGCTTCTTCTGCTTGGGCAGCAGTATGTTTTGGGCTTTTCCAGGGTTCTCAGAACCTTGAGTTTTACCAGCTTTGTGGCCCCTGCAATCAGTTCTTGCAGGGAGATGCAACCTGACTCAGAGGTTTCAGGACATATACTTCTGTCCCACAGGTCATGTGTTACAGCTCTGAAGTGCCTGGAACCAGAAATGTTTCAGATTTTAGATTTCGTTTTTCTTTCCTTCTTTCTTTCGTTGGTGGGGATTAGAACATTTGTATACACATAATGAAATATCCTGGGGATTAAGTCTAAGTCTAAATATGAAAGCCATTTCTATTCCATCTACACCTTAGACACCTATTCAGAGATAATTTTCTACAACATTTTCAGGGTACTGTGACCATTACATGATGTCAAGTAAGGACTTTTCTGATTGTGGTGTTATATCATCACTCAAAAGTTTAGGATTTTGAGACCTTTGGGAGTTGGGATTATGGATTTTTTTGGATTACACACAGCTAACCTATATTTTCTTTCTTAAGTTGTCATCCTGTTCCCATATGTAGCTTATTACTGTCCTTCTTCCTGTCCATCATTGCAATTGTGTTCCCCCACACAGCAGAATCCCCAAGGCCTAAGCCTAAGAGCTGACACTACATTGGAGGAGAAAAATGACTATTTATTGAAGGCCATCCTGGGACAGGGACTGGAGCCTTTAGATGGCATCTCTTCTTCCTCAGTCCAGTCCTCTGTCTCACTCCTCAGAGGTAACCACTGTTAACAGGAAATTTTGGTGTGCATATAGCCAGAAATAATGGAGATTAAATCTGCATATGGCACACATGACATATGTACACATATGCATATGTACATGTATACATATATGTATGTGCATATATACATATATTTTCACATAATATAGGTATCCATATAATATGGGTGTTGAAAGTACAATCTCTAGAGCCAGACTGCCTGTGTCCAAACTCCAGCTCTACATGTTATTTATTCTCTCAGAATTTTGTTTTCTTCATCTGTAAAATGGGGGTATATACTGGGCCAGCAAACAAGCCCCAAAATCTCAGTGACTTCCAGCAAATATTAATTCTTTTTCATGCTCAATCTAAATAGGTTGGTGGTAATCTTCTTGCTGTGAACATTAGTGTTCATTCAGGAGGTGCCACCATGCTATGGTGCTGCATACTGTGGCTTCAGGGGTTTCCCTGGCATGGGAAGAAAGTGCATGGAGAACTAACATGTTGTCCTTATTACCTCCAACTGGAAGAGATGGACAGAAAAAATATGTCATAGTCTTACTTTCATCTCTCTTGATTATGAATGAGGTTGAATGTATCTATAATAAAGAGATCAATACTGTGTTAAGTGCCTCATTTAGAAGTTGTTGGCTACTAGCTATGTATTAGCTCTCACAAATTCATCACCATAATTGCCATAGGCATGTTAATCTCTCAACATGGTTATACAAATCAGGGATCTGTAAGTCTTCTTACTCTTCATTTTCCTGAGGGCAGGATTGTGGGAGCCCAGCATCTTCTTGTTGCAATCCACCCTTGGGCACAGCTATCACTTCCTGTGCCCTTGGAGGCAACTTGGATGAAAAATTTGAGAAGATGCTCCTTTCGGAGATAAGCATATTCCCAAGAGTAGCTCCTTACATGTGTATCCCTAGAGCCTTGTTAATGTCTTCCTAGTCCTGGCCCTCCTCACTTTTCTTCTTCATTGGATCACCCTTTCCCCCTGGATTCTGGATTCTGCTTTCTTTCTTTCTTCCTTCCTTCCATCCTTTCTTTCCTTCCTTCCTTTTCTTTCTCTTCTTTTCATTCTTTTTCTTTTGCCATATTTTTATTGCTTATTTACATTTTTATTATCTTTTAATAGTTGTTCAAGGGTATTTCAATTCAGCATGTTTATTATAATGCATTTTGATCAATATGACTACTTCTTTCTTTTCTTTCTCCCTCCCTTCCTCCCTTCCTTTCTTTCTTCCTGTAGTAGTACTCGGGTTTGAACTCTGGGTGTCATGCTTACTAATCAGGGTCTCTACTACTGGAACCATACTCCAGCCCTATTTGCTTTCAGTTATTTTTCAGGTAAAGTCTTGTGTTTTTGCTTGAGGCCAGTTTCAGACTGTTCTCCTACTTAGCCTCCCATGTAGTTAGTATCACAGACTTATAACACCATACCCAGCTTACTAATTGAGATGGGTCTCACTATTTTTTCCCCCTGGCTGGCCTTGAACTGAGATCTATCTTAGCTGTGCCTCTTCAGTAGTTGGGATTATAGGCATTCCCAGCCCTACTTTCCTCTTTCTTGGTTTACACCTCATTTTCTCATAGTTTCAAGAAAAAGAGACATGGAAGGCAAAGTATATGAGACTGTATGTCTGAAGTTGTCTGTGCTCTATTTTCATACTTGATTAATTACTTGGCTACATATAGAATATCTTAGCTATGTCCTATGTAAGCACATATGTTCTTTGAATTACCATAGTGTTGTGACTGGATACATTTATCATAACTTGAAAACACTGTGAATGAAAAAAATGCAGTTACCCAGGCATAGTAGCTCAAGCTTGTAATCTTAGTTATGTGGGAGGTGGACATCAGGTGATTTCAGTTCAAAGCCAGACCAAGTATAAATAAAAATTTGGGACTTCATCTCAACTAATGACTGGGCACAGGGGCGCAGCAACACAGAGAAACACAGTAGGAGGATCACAACCCAGGCTGGACCAGACATAAAGACCCTACCTGGAAAATAACCAGTGAGAAAGGACTGTAGGCATGGTTCAAGCGATATTTACTTAGCAAATGTGACACTCTAGTTCAGTCACCCAGCTATAAAAAGAAAGCATTTTATGCATCTAACTTTTTGAACATTATAGTTTAACAACACAGTGCTCTGTAGAATATTGGTTGCTTAATCTTCATGATGTTGTGGCTGGCTGGGAGCTATGTTTTTATGTTGCTGCTCTGAATAAGAAAGGATTGTGCCTTTCCTAATTTTGATCTGTGTCTCACTCCTGCCTTTTCTGACACCTGATCTCTCCAAATTCCAAATCTTTCCTAGATTCTCCAGTTAAGCAGGCTTCTTGGCTTCACCTTTACAGGCAACTGGATTTTACCTTTCTTTGGTTCTAAGTTACTTCCTCCTCTATACACCTTACAGTATGCAAATATTTTTGCTGATACCTCTCACCTACTGTTGGCACCTTTCTAATTCTCCTTCTCCATATAGATCTACATTTTAAAGATCATTTTAGTAATTTTCATGGGCTCCAGCAAGAAGTCAAGACAAATACATATGAGTCTGGTATGCTCAACTCAGAGGATTTTTTTGTCCTTTCTAACCTTTATTTTGACCTAATTTCCCACTAAGAACAGAGTCCAGTAATAATTCCAAGTGAGCATAGCTGACTGTGACTCATCTCCAGAAACTCTTTCCTATTGCTCTAACCCACATTTGTGTATTATTGCAGTTGAACACAGCCTAACACCTTCTATAAGTCCACTTTGCATTTTCCTCATTTTTGCCATCTTGTGTGCACCCAACCTGGCTGAAGATGGCTCTTCACTTCCCTTGGCATTCCCTCTACTAATGTAGGAAGGAAAGCCTAGGGGCAAGCTTTTCCAGGACTTCTAACTCTGGTTTCTAGCAGTGGCTCCCCACCATTAACCATACTGTGGACAGAGCCCAGCCCAATGCTGGTGCAGGTCCTGGTGAGGAGAGAGCTTGCTGTGTCAAGCATAGCCCTCTAGATCTGAGTCAGGTTCCCAAGGCCAGAGAAGTGGGGGACTGAGAAGAGCTGGGCACGTGGGCCAGCTGCTAGGGCTGAGGAAGTCAGGGTGTTGAGTGGACATGAGTGCATGTGTGTGATGTTAGGATTGGCAGAACTTGGGAGGGAAGGTGTGAAGGACTGTTCACATTTCATTAACCACAGGCTGGGTTTCCTCCAGGGTCTATTTCGATCTTGGGCAACTTATACCTGGTGCTATTCACACCCTACTGGCCTGTCACTGTGCTCATTCTCACCTGGCTCGCTTTTGATTGGAAGACCCCTGAGAGAGGTAAGACCCTACTGGGCTGTGTTACTACATGCCACCTGTTCTTCCTCTTCTCTCCTAATCCTGAGAGGCCCTAGTCAATTCCCAAGCAATTCTCTAACCCGTCTTTCCCTGGGGCAGAGAAGCATAGAGAAAGGATTCTTTTTTTTTTTTTTTTTTTTTGGTCATGGGACTTGAACTCTGGGCCTGGGCGCTGTCCCTCAGCTCTTCAGCTCAAGGCTAGCACTCTACCACTTTAGCCACAGCACCACTTCCGGTTTTCTGGTGGTTTATTGGAGATAATAGTCTCACAGACTTTCCTACCCAGGCTGGCTTTGAGCTATGTTCCTCAGTTCTCAGCTTCCTGAGTAGCTACGATTACAGGTGTGAGCCACTGGCACCCAGCTGAGAAAGGGTTCTTTTGAAAAAAAAAATCCCAATTGGGAACTGGAGGAACAGCTAATGAAGCAAAAGCAAAAGGCCCGTGAAAGTCCATAAAGGCCCAGAGAGGATAGAGTTTGGCTATATTTCCTCTGCTTTCAGGGGGCCGCAGGTCCAAGTGGGTGAGGCGGTGGTGCCTGTGGAAAAACTACTGCAATTACTTCCCAATTAAGGTGAGTTCCTGAGTTCCAGGCACAACTGGACCAGCCCTGTTTCTGCTGTCAGCAATTGTATGGGGTAGAGGATGGAAGGTGCACCATAGCAGGGCCTGGGTGAATGATGGCCCCTGGTGTTGTGCATTCATTGCCTAATGTACATGGCCAAACCCCACAGGCCTTTCCCTTCCATGTCTCTGGCTAAGAGTACACTTCCTTGGTGACAGCCCTCTTGAATGCTTTCCTCCACAGATTTTGAAGACTCATGATATTTCTCCCAGCCACAACTACATCCTTGCCTGCCACCCTCATGGGCTCATGTCCCATTCATTCTTTGGTCACTTTGCCACTGACACCTCAGGCTTTTCCAAGGTCTTTCCTGGCATCACTCCTTATCTTCTCACACTGGGAGCCTTTTTCTGGCTGCCTTTCCTCAGAGAATATGTAATGGCTACAGGTGAGTTGACTCCTAGGGTATAACGTTGGGGAGGAGGGAATGGGTGAGAGTAAGGCCCATCCTATGATCTTCTCTGGTCCTAAACAGCTAGAATTGATGGGGGTGTCTTGCTTTCACTGCTCCTCTGAAGAAAGAAGGGGGTTGAGAAGTAGCCAATGACCTCTTCTCTTGCCTTTTTCTGCCCACCAGGGATCTGCTCTGTGAGCAAATCTTCCATGGACTTTCTCCTTACCCAAAAGGGCACAGGCAACATGCTTGTTGTGGTAATTGGTGGCCTGGCTGAGTGCAAATACAGTTTTCCAGGCAATTTTACCTTGGTCTTGAAGAAACGTTATGGCTTCGTGCACATGGCCCTTCAACATGGGTAAGGTCAGCTGTGGTCCAGAGAGGCAGGAGTAGTGTGGGGGGTGGGGGTGGGTAGGATGGGGGGGGTATTGAGCCCAGTAAGGAAGAAAGAAGGGATTTTGAGGAAGTGGTATCTAAAGAAGGATCAAGAAGTATACAACCCATTGTTACTAAGTGGAGCCATCATACACATATACAAATTTTATTTATCAAGTAACAATAAGGAAAAGGAAAGAGGGATAAGGTGCATCTGGGCCAGGTACTACAGGCATCTCTCTATGAAGTAAGGGTGGACAGCTAGCTGTCAGCCTGTTCTCCTTCACACTAGCCTGTCAACCAGGCTATCCCTCTATAAAAGGGCACTGGCTGCACCCCAACTCAGAGAGCTAACCTTAGCATGTGGGGTAAAGGGAAGGAAGCCCAAGGGCCTTATCTTACAGTGATTCAGACCTGGGTGTTCTCAGGTGTGGCTGGGTTGCTGATTTGCCGCTACAAGCAGATTGGTCTAGGCTGTCATGTCCCTATACTCAGTGTGGACCTCAACATAGCTGGGCTGGAGAGCCCATGGGCAGACCCAGTGACTATTGGGTAGTCAGCATGTCTGTTTTGCAGTCAGGGCTACCATCTTTCTGGGCATCAAGGGAACATGCTTTTCCTCTGCAGGGCGGCTCTAATCCCTGCCTATGCCTTTGGCGAGTCAAACCTCTACAACCAGCACATTTTCACTCCTGGGGGCTGGATCAATCGCTTCCAGGAGTGGTTCCGGAGCATAGTGCACATCTACCCTTGTGCTTTCCATGGGCGTGGCTTCACCAGGAACTCCTGGGGCTTACTGCCATATGATATACCAGTAACCACTGTTGGTGAGTTGCCCTTCTGGAAGCCTCGGGCTAGGATCTAGGATTCAGTTCTGATGCTAAACCTCCGCTCTGATTATTCTCAGAGGCAGAGTGGAGGCTGAGTAGGATAAGTGGAAGGCTGGTGGGGAGGATGACAGTTAGGGGAAGCTGAGGTTGAAGCCTGGCACCCATTCTGGTGAATAAGCTGTTCTGATGCTTCTCCCTTTACCTTTTCTCTCCCCTGACAGTTGGGAAGCCTCTATTACTGCCCAAGATTGTGAACCCGAGCCAGGAGATAGTGGATAAATACCACCAGCTCTACATAGAGGCCCTACGCAAACTGTTCGATGAGCATAAGACCAAGTATGGCATCTCAGAGACCCAGGAGCTTGAGTTTGTTTGACAGACATCCTCAGTAGCCTCACAACCTGAGAAGGTGTGAAGTCAGTAAAAACAGGAGAACAAGTCATTTCTGGGACTCCTCCTGATTTGACTAGTACTTACCAGGGGACAGAGAGATCCATTTTGTTTACTGTGCCTGTCTTTCTACTTATCTTGCTTTCTTCTAGTTCTTTTCCTTGGGGTTAGGGGACCATAGTATCAAGAGGCAGGGAAGTACCCTAGGGCAGAGATGCACTGGGCACTCTCCCACAAGGGTACTAGCACTGAGGAAAACAATAGAACAGAGGCCATCTTCGGATAGGGTGTGGGCCTCAATTAGTCTATTTGGAGGGTCTGGAATCCCTATGCATGTCTGTCATTCTCTAGCCCTTTCTTGGCATCAGAACTTGGGAGAACTGGGTGCCTTGAGAAGCAATGAGTTTTGAGTTCAGGCTCCACCACTCTAAGCCATGTGACTTGAGGGGCAATTGGTCATGTCTGAGCTTGTTTCCTCACCTGCAACTTAAGACTAACAATTCCTCCACTGCTTACCTCCAAGGCTGTTGGGAATATCAAATGCTATTATATGTGACTGGACTTTAAGCTGAAGAACTACACTAAACTGTTTTCCTCTAACCATTGAATGTATTTCCTGGTCTTGGGAAAGCAATGCCCTACAGTTCATGGCATCTCAATTTTTTGTATGCTGGTCCTGGGGCTTGATCTCAGGGCCTGAACACTGCCCCTGTGCTAATGTGCTTAAAGTTAGCAATCTACCACTTGAGCCACAGCTCTACTTACAGCTTTTTTTGAGTAGTTTGTTGGAGTTGAGTCTCACGGATTTTCCTGCCTGGCTGTATTTGAACTGCAATCCACAGATTTCAGCCTCCTGAGTAATTAGAATCACAGTGATGAGCCTCTAGCAACTTGCCTGGCATTTCAATTTTTTAAAGAAGTATATGCTCTTGGGTTGGAAGTTAATTAATTATTGCCCATACCCCTGGTGCTGCTTAATCTGCACTTACTTTCTATCTCATAGATCTTAATAGAATGGGTCAGTGGGTCAAACTCAGGCCCTGTCTTATCCCAGGTCTTGCCTGGCCCTACAGTTTTTTCCTTTGAGACTCATATGAGGTGACTGCCTCATATTCTCTGAGTGGAAAGTTTCTCAGCATCTTGGCCCAATGGTTGTTGCAAGGAGTGATGACTCAATTTGCCTTTAGGCCTCTTGTTCTACCCCTCTTAGGTAGATGTCATTTGGCCCAAACCTTTACTGTGCTGAGTTTGTCAATTTCATCCAGAACATCTTATGTACTTACTATACAGCACGATGTGTCACCTCTGCCTTGGTGTTGATTTGTACACAGTATGGCAGAGACAGGCTCCTATTTTGCTGTTGTTTCTATGGCTCTTGTGGTAGAAATTACATTTTTCCTAGACTCCAATAAGGTGGGTAATTGGGGGGAGGGGAAATGCTGGGGATCAAACCTAGAAGTTTGTGTATTCCACTGTGCCACTGAGGTACATCGCAAGGGTTTTCAAAACTTTCCAGGCTTCCTGTACCTAATTTCCTTAAACAAACAAAAATACTTTCTCAGGCAGCCAGAAGAAAAGCCTAGATTCCAAATCTCCAGCCCAGGTATACCTGGTATTGCATGTTTGTCTATGGCTACTCTGCATACATTGGTTATATACCCCCATTCTCCCCTTATACAATGGAGACAAAGGTTGTGGGGCCTCTGCTAAGTGCCCAGAACTCTTCTGAGCTACATTTTCCTGAGCTATTATCTGTTTTTCCTATGGTCCTCTTCCTCAACAGCCTCCACAGGACTTCTCTGCCAAAAAGCGTGGTGCCAATTGGAGGAGGCAGCATGGCAGAATGGAAAGTTTGTATGGAGGAAGCAGTCTAGAATGATACATTTATTAGTTGGGTGGCCTTGGGTGAACTACTTAATTATCTTTGAGCATTGGTCTCATCTGCAAAAATGAGCTGATCCCTTAGTGAGTTGCTGAACCCTGGATCCTCCCCCACCTTAAGTTGTTTTAGGTCAGGCTTGAAGTAGCTGTTACAGATGCCACAGTCTCAAACTGAGGAAGACCCCATGACTTGTGTCCCTGACCCAGGACAAAATACTTTTAGTGAGACTCCTAAACTCTCGGGTTTATGCTCCCAGAAGATGTAAGGCTGAGTGGAGGCATGTGGTCTGAGTTGAAGATCATGTGGGAAAGGAAGTTCAGACCATCTTCCATTACTGCCTCTTGAAACAGGTGCCTTGGTCCTTTCCCTAGTTTATGTGTGACATCATCTACAAAGAAGTATCTAGTATGTAGGAAGTGCTGAAACCTATTTCAAGAACAGGGGAGGGAAGGGGGAAGCGCTTTATTTGCAAAGAATAAACCATTAATTTACACAAACTTACATCCCAGTTTATATACATTATATATAGTTTATATATACAGTATCTCACACTGGATGCTGACCCCCAAAAGCAGCAATGAGCCTGCTCCAGGCCATTCTCCTAACAAAGCTCTTCCCTGACCCAGCTGGAAACTATTGGAATAAAGAAATGGTATACCACATCCCCTCTTGGAGAGCCCTGACATGGATCAAAAGAACAAAATCAGGTTCCTCCTTGGTGTTAGAAGAATATGCTGGTAAAGATGGGATTTGCAGCCACTAGAGTGGCCTTAAGACTCTAAGGACTGCCTGGGTTTGGGGGGATAGTCTAGATCCTTCCAATAAGTCAAGGGGTAGGGACTGGGCAAATGCTTTGCAGGGGTATGGGGAGCAGAGTTCTTATGAAGGCTGCAGCTATTATCCCTGCCTGGCCAGGCTCCTGAAGGGGGCAGAGAACTTCCAGCCTTGAGTTTGTGGGTTGATGGAAGAAAGGGGGTGGGCTCTGTGGCACAGGGTCTGTTTTACCTCTTCCCTTTGCATAATCTGGAGCTGGGAGGTTGAGTAGGTCACCTTTCCTCTCTGGGTGTCACATGAGTAACACAGGGTGGAATGTAGGTTGGGCTACATTCTCTCTATGGACCTTTTTAGCTCAAAATTTCTCTAAATCTCTTTGAATCCACTAGACCTAATATAAAACACAAGCACTCACACATGGATCAAAGTCTTCATTTACCTCCAAGTTTCCTATGTCTTTCCTGTTAAGCAAGAGAGATTTGGCTCAGGATGGATGAAGGAAGAACAAGGCAAATACAGTACTACATTTTCCAGGGGACCAGTAGCAGAGCAGCTTCTAGCAGCTGCCTTTGATGTCAGCTTGACTGTCGAAGCCCCAAGCAGCTGACAGAGGCACCTGCCATGCAATTCTCCTTCAAACCTCTGTCATCTGCACAAATTCACTTGCCCCATTCTCCATGCTAGCTTTGGCCTCCTGATAAATTCACAGCAGCACAATTCCAAACGAATTCTCTGTTCACATTCTCCTATCCACTCTTAAAACTACCTTACCGCTTCTCCAATGACTATACCATAACAGGATCCCCACTGTCTATTGCTTCCTTTCCATCTCTGTGCCTTTAGGACAATTTGTGAGGATTCTGAATAAATGAGGGGTCTAGTGCAACATCTACTTCCTCTCCAAGCCCTTAAATTAGGATGTCTGCAGGATGGTATGAGAGGCAAGCAAGTCTTTGAGGGCCAAAATTAAAAGCTTTTCCTCCTCTCTCTTCACCACCCACCTGGCTTTAGAATTGGTCCTCTCTGGCCTTGCCTCTACCCCAAGAGACCTTGGCAATTATCAGTGTCTCTGTGGAGTGATAAGGAGTTACAGTTTGTAGCTGTGGGAAGTGGGCCAGCTACTGGGAACTGTGTCTAGGGTAATGAAAGGAGGACCTTGTTCACACCTGGTGGCTGCTTGTTTCATCCAATGGTTGAAAGAACACAACGATGACAAATTCTGTGGGTCCCAGAGGCCTGCTGCTTGGACAGGGTGCCAAGATGTTTCCTGTGAACACAAGAGCACCAGTGCTGATGGCTGTTACCCAAGGAAATATCTGATTGTTTTGCCACAGGACTCTTGGCAGCCAAGAGAAAAGGCATTACTGTCAATAGACAAAAATGGGCATTGCTGTTTTCCCCTAGTACCCCCAAGGATGTCAGTTTCATATTATCACTTTCATTCATTCAACCTAAATCCTAAATTCTCCACAGTGCTATGGTATAAAGGAATAGCCTGGGACCCTGATCTGTCTAAAGCCCCAGATCTATGATTTAGTCAAAACAGCTCAACTCTCTGAGCCTCATCTAAACAATGACATTTGAAATATTCTCCGCCCTGCTCTCTTCAAAGGAAATAATACAAGAGGAAATAACCTTACAAATAGTGAGCGGTTCAGACTGTTCCAGCTACAATTGTAGTCTGTCCAAGGCCAGACCCTTAACTAAAGTTTGCCTTACTTTGGGTTACAAGGCTGTCATTAGTATCAGCCAATGGAGGCCTGGCTCACTGCCTCTTGCTCCAACTCTTGAAGAGCCCAGAAATGTGGCTGTTCAAGTGAGAGCAGGCAGAGCTGAGAAATAGGGAATAGCTGAGAAATAGGGAATCTAGTGCTCATCTCCTCAAAAAGAAACACATGTCAGGAGCAACAGGTGTAGATTGTATGAGGCTGACCCTCCTGGCTATGAGCTGTATCTAGCAGCCCCCCGAAGCTCAGGCTGGGCCCAGGTAATTCGCAACAGGATCATTGAATAGTTCTAGTATATAATCTACAGGAACCTTTGTGTAGGAGGGAAGTGCCTTTGGACCTGAACTAGGGGATAGATCCCTGCCCAATGTCTGGCTTTAGGGCAATATCATGGACCTTTGGCATGATTGGTGACTATACTCTGTGTAGCTTTATGAAATAAGACTGGATGATCAGGCCACCAGTACTTGTCCTTTTTGCTAGAACCTGGCCTAAAAATTACTTGGATTGCAGTAAATTCAGATAAAATTCCCCTGCTATCTCTGCCTCTTGCTTTTTCCAGGCTAGGCAGAAAAACTCTGCTCTGCTGATGCCCAAGAGTCCAGGATTTGGGAATTTATGTTATTGTGGCAGATGTCTGTTGAGAGTCACGAATATGAAAATGCCAAGGGACTTTTTGTGTTGGGGGAGTCATCCAGTTCAACTCCTTGTTCTAGACACAATTCAATTAGAATTAGATGAATAATACTTGTATTGCTTTATAAATGGAAATTTCCTCTTAGTGCCAAGGTAAGCTAAAGAATATCCCAGACTCACATGAGCACAGGTCCCAGGTCAGGCCCTGTCTCAGACAGAGGTAGGCTCTGTGGCGAAAGAAGACAGGAGCTCTAGTCAGGCTGGAGAGGGTGGTAACTGGGAAGGTACCCCAAGCAGTTTTTTTTTGAGCATGGAGCACAGCTGTAAACAAAGTGAGAGACATGTGCCTGCAGTATGGATTCAGGTTCTTCCACAGGTAGGGTTATTCCAAGGCAGAGTAAAGCTCCTGTCTCTGGAGCCCAGCATACTGATAACAACCATGTGGCTCTCAGCCTGGGAAGAGCTCTTTGAATCTCCTGCAAGTCACTGTGCAGAACAGCAAGATTGCTTCCATTGCCAAGGGTGAGTGCTTTGGCAGGTTTCTTGCCCCAATCTTGGCTACAAACATCTACCTTGTTCCTCCCTGGCACTCTCTTCAGGCTGTAATCTAATGTTACTCCCTTCACCCCTAGCCCAAGCCAAGAGAGGGGCAGCAGCCTCCTTGGGATCAGATGGCCACTTCCAGCATGTGGAGTGCACCTTTGCTTTCTCTAGCTTGCTCCCTGGGTCCTCATTTTAGTGCAACAATCAGTAAGTCTCACAAGAGGGACCTTGGGGTTGAAGAATCATGCCATAAGCCAGTCAACATGGAGCCTAAGAAGATTTTGCTTCTTGGAAATCCTGGGGCTCCATCAACTGTCCTGTTAACTCAAGGTCATTCTGGAAAGTCAAGCAGGCCTGGTCATCCTGGAGTCACCGCGGGAATAAATAGCACTGGGGTGGGGGTGGGGGTGGGGGTGCATTTCCTCTCTGTGGCTGCAATGCCAATATACCTCAATCCACCAGCAGCACTTAGAGGTTCTGGGAGTCCAGGCTCCCAAACCTGGGGCAGGGGCATATGGGTAGGGGCAAAATGGGGAAAATCTAGGATGCAGGGGCTTCTCCCAGCCTGATGGCCCCAAAGAAAGTGGTGTGCTTGCTCATATTGATAGAAATGTCGGCGTGCACCATCTTCACGGCGATCTTCTGGCGCGCCTTGAGGAGGCAGACGCCTGCTGTATAGCAAGTGTTGTAGTTGGTCTTGCCTGTCTCGATGCTGCGCGTGCACTGGAGGAAGGGCTTCTCATCCACCACCACCTCATAGCTGGCAAAGTCAGTGAAGTTGATGTAGTACACCTGGGTGAGAGGCAACGAGAAGGGATTGGGGAAGAGAGGAAAGAGAGGGTAGGGCCCTCCCCTGGTGAGCAGACAGAACCTTCTTAGATGAGCTGCCAGTGTACCTTATGCAAGGGGCAGGTGTCAGGATTATGTCCTGTCCTTTCCCTGTTCTATGGGTCACATATAGCTGAGCAGACCACCTATGTCACAATAGTATACCTGTCACAAGTTCTGAGGGTGAAGTCTGCCCCCTATTTGCCACCTCACCAGCCCCTTACCCCAACTTGGCATGAAGCACAATGTTCTGAACACCTTAGGTGCTCAATCAGTGCTCCAGACATTAACTAATTTTCCATTTCCAGCTCGGGATGATTATTTGAGACTAAACTGAGAAGTCTGTGATTCCCCCTAGGAAGGGCATAGTAACAACTTTCCATCTCTGAAGCAGGTTAACAAAAGCTCCTCAGCTTATAGTTCACCCTTGGTGTGGCTGACTCTTCTCCCTGATTCCTACTGCTGTTTGGCCCTCTCATTATGCTGATTGAGGAAACAGATCTAGAGAGATGGAGAGCTAGCCACCACAAAGGAGACAATGGAGTTGGAAGTGTAAATCCCAGGCCCCTAACTTTAGTCTGTGGCTAGAAGGAAGCAAGAACCTGATGTCATGAAGATTTTCCCAGCATGCATGGGTCACTCCCAATTTTCTCCTGGGTCCAGTAGATAAATTTTCCATCTTTCATTACCTACTTGGCCATCTTACCCTACCCTACTCTTTGATTCTCCATCACCACCAAATGATGCTTAGTTAACAGGCATTGAGATTAAACTCACATGCCTTATAGGAGTTGAAACCTTCATGTGACACATTAAGTGACATTATAAAGACTACCTCCACAGGCTATTTGTGTGTGTGTGTGTGCACATGTGCACACACACACACATACATACATACATACACATGGGTACTAGGACTTGAACTTGGGCTAGGTGCTGTTCCTGAGCTTTTCTGCTCAAAGCTAACACTCTACCACCTTGAGCCATAGCACTACTTCTGGTTTTCTAGTGGTTAATTGGAGATACGAATCTCATAGGACTTTCCTACCCTGGGTGACTTTGAACCTTGATCTTCAGATCTCAGCTTCCTGAGTAACTAGAATTACAGGCATGAGCTAACAGTGCCCAGCTATACATGCTCTTTTGATGGAAACTGTGTATCCAGGTGCTATATAATCTTTAGGGTCAGGACCAAGGTACACCAAGATGCTTGGTGTACTTAACAAATGGTTGTTAACCCACCTTCTCTGGCCACTTTTCTGTGAGACCCATCTGTTGGCTCCACAGTCCTTCTGTCCATCTGTCTTGTTGCTGCCCCACCCCTGAAGCCTCAGTGTTAAGGCTCATCTACTGCTAGCTCTAGGGAGACACCTCCACCAGTGGAGGCAAACAATTGTAGGGTGTAAACAGGTGGGAACTGGCAGACCTGGGGGAAGTGGGCCCAGGGCAGGATAAGGACAGAAAACAGAGGGACAAAGGCCTGGGAGAATGACAGCAGGAAGGAGGTAAGAATAACAGAAACAGAGAGACAAATGGGAGAAAGAGGAAGGAAAGACAGTCAGAAATCTTTCTGAGGTGGAGAGAAAGTCTGCAGGAGCACTATTCATTATAATGCTCAAGCTAGCAGTGCTTTGGGGGAAGGGTTCTCAGCTTGGGAACTGACTTTGAAAAACTTTTGCTGAGACCAAGTTCAAGTTTGGCTGTAGAACCAAACAATTTAGAGGGAAAACGGGGCCTGAGGCCCTGCAGGAGGGAATCAGACAGCAGGGAGTGGGAAGGGCCTCTTTTCCATTTTTTCAGTATTTGGTCAAGGGGGAAAACACACCAAGAAACTGGCCCCCTCTCTGGACCTTTCAACTCCCTCCCATCGTTCTCCCTCACCCTCCCTCACTACCCCACCCCCAGGGCCAAAGCAGGAAGTTTGGTCTTGGCTGGCTACACAGTGCCCCATTGTGGCCTGCGCCGGATCTGCATTGTGGATATAAGAAGAGTTACGCCTAAGACCGTACTCACTTCTACCTGACTATAGATGAAGTAGGTGCCGTCCACCAGTACCTCCAGCTCCCCGCTGCGGGGATGTAGCTTAAACACCTTGGGGTTCATAGTGATGCGAGACCAGTCATTGAGCACTCCACCTGAAAGATCTCAGTATGAGAGAAGGGTAGTCACTCAGTACATGTCAGAAGAATCTGGGCAATAGCACTAAGAAACACCAAGCATTTTACAACCCCAGCCCCATCCCAGGTGACCAGGAAGGCCCAGAGGCCAAGCTTTAAGAGGACAAGTTGAAAGCAGGGAAACTGTGCTCTTTGTAAGGCAGCTATCAGGCCTGCCTCAGGGCCCCAGGGCTCTGTATATCTATCTTCATCCCCCTCCTCTCCTGAGCTGTTGTTCGTCTGCAAGGGTCTTTAAGCAACATTTTTTAATTTGAATTGGGAGGGGCCAGTAAGAGGAGAGTGAGCACAGCACACTGCTTTATTTTCTTTGTTGTTACAAGGCTGCACAGGCAAAATTCAGACACTGAGTGGCAGGCTAGGTCTATTATTATGCAGTTTCACTTTCCCAGTCATAGTTCCCGAATCTCCAACCTATTTCATAGGTTTATGGGTTTTCTCCTCTGTAAGGGATTCCTTTTTCTGGGTCCTCCATACCACTCCAGAAAAGCCTCGTTGGGCCCCAGGGAACCACTTAGCCCATTCAATTGTCTATCTGGGAACCTTTAAGGATCAAGGGTTATCGCTCAGATTCCAGAGCAACTGAAGCTAGTAATCACTATCCCCCAGGTCTTGTAGGTAAGAGGAAGCTTTGTTCAAGTTAGGGAAAGACTACCAAGCTGCAGTAGAGTAGCTAAGAGTACAGATGGTGGAAGATGACTGGGACCTGAGGTACCCTTGGTAAAGCATCCATCTCTTAATCCTACTCCATTTAGGAGGAACCAGCATGTAAGAGAGCATGCGCACGCACACGTGTGTGTGTGTGTGTGTGTGTGTGTGTGTAAACTTCCCTTTCCATCCTGTGGAAGAGAGCTGTTATGTTCCTTCATACCACAGGAGGGAAGCCAAACCCATGGGGTTACTTCCTCCTCTTAGTCATCCACCCAATACCTAAGAAATTTTATAGTGTGTGTGTGTATATGTGTGTGTGTGTGTGTGTGTGTGTGTGTGTGAATTCTGACGTTTGAGCTCAGGGCCTGTCCCTGAGCTTTTGTGCTCAAGGCTGGTGCTCTACCACTTGAGCCACAACTCCCCTTCTGGCTTTTTTGGTGCTTAATTGGAGATGAGTCTCATGGACTCTGCTGCCTGGGCTGCTTTTGAACCATGATCCTCAGATCTCAGCCTCACAAGTAGCTAGGAGTCCAGGTATGAGCCACAGGCACCTGGCTGTATCAGGTATCTTAACTTTTCTTTATTCATTGCTTCTACTCACATCCCTCTCCTTTCTACTCTAAGCTTGGTCAGCATCTGGCATGTTGGCTAGCTTGCTGCTTCCCAAGGCTGGGGGGTTCATGCATTTTAGACTTTGGCACCCTGAGGATCGGACATTATTTCAAAGCATTGTTCTTTAATGAATGTTCATGTCTCTTTGGGGAAGAAAATGAACCTAAGCATTCACTGGAGTCTATATACACATCACTGAAGTAGCACAGAGCCTAGTAAAAAGAGTCAGAAAGACATAGCTTTGGATCTCAGCAACTAAACTTTGAAATCTTGGGCCAGTTAATTAACCTCTCAGTTCCAGTTTCTGTCTCTGCAAAGAGAACCTGACTCCTACCTCACTAGATGGTTGTGAAGGCCAAATGAAATAAAAGACAAAAATATGCTGGAAACTCTAAAGTGCTATACACATGTAAGACAGTATGATTTATTATGGTATTATACAATCTCTCGGGGACTCTTAAATACAGGGAATACATGAAAGCAGTTTTTTTTCAACCTCTTGGAACACAATCTCACTTTGATAGACATTAGCATCTCACATTCCCTAGAGATTACAGCATGCCCTTCCTTCCTTGAGAGAAATGACCCTTCCATCCATTTTCTGTGCACAGAAACCAGACAAGATTTGATGTAGTTTTACTTTCTGTAGTTTGTATTGTGAAAATGCTTACCAAACTACACATACCTTCATGGAGATTCTCATATAGCCTCCCTTCCTCCCCAAGAATACTTAGGTAGATAATGTCACAAGTCTCCTTCAGCTCCCTCATCAGTGGATTCTGAATATAATTTGGGGGTAGCAATAGCTCTTGATACAAGCAGTTATGTGGGAGAGCCAGTAGAGGGCATGATGGAGCAGTGAAGGGCTTCCTATTTCAAGGGTACCTCAGCAGCCTGGGAAGAACTAGGCTGAGTGATTATTTGGAGGTTGGGAAAGAAGGAATGAAGAAGCTCCTCTTGGGGAATGAGCCTACATAGATTCTTACCATTCTTGACTTGAATTGCTGACCCTTGGCCCTGTAGGTGCACCACAGCTGGCTGGGAGGATGAGAAGGAAAGAGTCACTGTAATGGCTGCTTGATCAGCCACACATTCCCTCCCCAAGTTTTCTAGTCTCCATTTGTATCCCAATTATGGGATATTTCTACTTGAGTGTAATGTGATTTTGTGCCTCTGCCACTTCCTCATTATATGACCTCAGCGAAATGTAATGCCTCTGAGCCTCATTTCCCCAACTGTAAAATGGGGATTATGAGAATCTCTGTCTGGCTTCTTCACACAGGGGTGTTTAAAGATCAAATGAGGTGATGGATGTAAAATTGTCCTGCAAGGCTAGCAAGCATTGTGCTGTGATGTAGATTTATCACTGTGGCCAAACAGCTACAGTGAGGGCGGCTTCGTGGAGACAAGGGCTAGGCTAGGCAGCAGAACCTGCCAGTAGAGACAGATTAGCAAGCTCAAAGACAAGGGAGGAGCCATCAGGCCATTAAGGCAGAAGCCCAGGCTGGCCTTGGCCTGGAGCTACTTGGCTGTTTTTCAAGGACAAACTCTTATACTTCTCAGCTCCAGATCCCAGGCATTCTGAGTGCTGGCCAGGTGTCTGGAGATGTCTGGGGAGTTGGAGGCCCAGGTGAACAGGCCTACTGGAAGCTCATTTCAGCTGACTACTGAGCCTGATGGTGGTGACACTCTGTCTCTTGTGGAAAGAGGACAAAAGGTCCTGGCAAGGCAGGGTTCCCTTAGCTTAAGTCAGACCCTAGGGCAAAACTTTTCTATTTATAGATGGGGAGGGGTTTGAGCCTGAAAACAAAACAAAACAACCTCAGAACCTCCAGAGTGTCCTTATAAAATAAAGCCTTAAGAAATTTTATGGGGAGTTGACTTAAAGGTGGCTCTCAACCTGTGGCCTTCTCTTCTCCCCAGGAAGAGAGCAATCCCCAGCCAACCTGGTTCTCTCTTGTTCCAGCTTTATCCGCAGCACCTGCAAAATAGGACAGGACAATGAAAGGGCATGCTCCTTCTACTTTCTTCTCTCTTCACTTCTGCAGCAGTGGAACTGAGCCTTGCTCTCTGGGGCTAGCCCTGAGTTTTCTTCTCTAAAGATTAGAGCTGGAGGGGAGGGGGGTCAGACTGACAAGAGAGGCCCTAGGATGAGAGATGAGATTTCTTCTTTTGCCTTCCTGGCTCTTACCTTCATCTTTAGTGGAATGAACATCCATAGGAAATCTAGCTTTTTTGCCAATGTTGGCCCAAGGAAAACACCACTTTGTACCCATGAGGAGTAATGAGAGGGCATCCCTATCACTGTGTGCTTCTGAGATGATGCCACTTGCTTTTCTAGCTGGTTGCTCCCTTTCTATCAATTGTCTTCATAGAACCCACTGCCATTTGTAAAGATCTTGTTTCTTTAATTGTCTCTCTGCCTCTAGGACATAAACTCTATGAGAGCAGGGACCACTTAGCAATATATCTCCTTGTACACAGAAATTGCTCAATTAATATTTGTGGAATGATTGGATTAGAAAAACTAACTCTGTCTCTTGTGACCATGGTAACACTGCTGAGCCCTGTTTAAATTATAAGTTGAGGAATCTGAGTTCTGTTGCTAAATTCTTGGTCCCAGAGAAATAAACTGTAGACTCTATTGCTTGAAAACATCAACATACAGAAAGGGAGAAGAAGAAAGAACTAACAACTGACATTAACCCAGGAAGTCTGACTGCTGTCAACTCCAGTTACCCATACCTTTGGATCCTCTCTGGGACTCAGGGGAAAGATGTAAATGGATGAAATGGTATCTTGTTTGTATATGTGTATATATGTGTTATGGTTTTGGGGCTTGCCCCTTAGCTATTTTGCTCAATGCTGTCACTCTACTACTTGAGCCATACCTCTACTTCTGTCTTCTTGGTGGTTAACTGGAGATAAAATTCTTGTAGACTTTTATGTCTGGGGTGGCTATGTATTGCAATTCTCAGATGTCAGCCTCCTGAGTAGCATGGATTACATGTGTAAGCCACTGGTGCCTGGCTGAAATGGTATTTAAATGGGTAGTGTGGGGCTGGGAAGATGGCTGGGAAGTGTGCTTGCCCCGCACGCATGATGCTCTGGGTTCAATTCCTCAGCACCACATAAGCAGAAAAAGCTGGAAGTGGCACTGTAGCTCAAGTGGTAGAGCACTAGCCTTGAGCTGAAGAGCTGAGGGACAGTGCCCAGGCCCAGAGTTCAGGCCCCACGACTGACAGAAAAAAGGGTAGTATGGCGGGTTAAGGATCTAGTGTGAGAATCACTTGGTTCCAGGAAAGGAAGACCTTGGGGCCTAGGTTTATTGCATCTACTGCCAGACTTTATTGTAAGTAACTACTTGTTGTCATCTCTGGGAAAGGAAACAGTGTTCATGGGATCAAAGTATCCTAGGACTTGTTCTTTTGTGCAATCCCCACCATTCTTTCCCATAGCCTGTTCTAGCTATACCAAAAATAGTGTGTGGAGCTACATGCTGGAAATCAAATCAGAGGAGATCAAGGTTGTCATCCCTTAGGATTTCCTGTGACCTCTCAGGGCCTCTATCCCTTGCCTCTGTTTCTGGCTCATCTAAGTTTACTAGCCTACTCACTATAGAGAGGCTTGGAGTGAAGGATAGATTATGATAGAAGGGTTGAATTGGACAAGAATAGGGCTCCACCAACTGATACAGCAGGCCAGACCATATCAGCACGTTCAACTGCTAGCACTATGCTTGGCTAGGAGACCTATATTTCTTACTGCATGCCATAAATGTCATCAGTGTTTGAAAATGCTCTCCTCCTCTTGCTCTCAAAAAGTGAGCAAATACAGTCATTATATTCAATGTACATTATGTAAAATGAACTATGTAAGGTCAGGGGAGGTAGGGGGATATGAGAGAGAACAAAGGAAGGAATTACATTGATGAAGAAGCATTGTACTCATAACCTCACTAATGGAATTGTAATCCCTTTATACAACTACTTAATAACAATAAGAATGTAAAAAAGTACTTCTAAATTTTTTGGAGAGATAGAGGAACTCACCAGAAGGTCCCTGGAGGCCAGGGGGTCCTTGAGGACCTGGAGGGCCAGGAGGACCAGGTGGTCCCATAACAGTTGTTCCTGGAATGCCAGGAATTCCTGGGATTCCTGGGGGTCCCTGGGGTCCTGGAGGTCCTGGAGGTCCTGGGGGACCATTGGGCCCAGGTGGCCCTGCCTTCTTTCCTGAAAAACAGTATCCAGCATTACATTTGAAGTTACATTGACTGTCAAGGATGTGCTGTTAGTAGAGTGCTGTCAGGAATTGTAGAGACTTAGAACAATACAAAGTCAGCCATCTGGGAGTTTATGCTAAAGAGCCAGAAACCTTATTTCCTGGGCCTAGCTTGAACTCAGAGCCTAAGTGCTATCCTTGAGCTTGTTTACTCAAGGCAAGAGCTCTACCACTTTAAGCCACAGCTTCCCTTCCAATTTTCTGATGGTTAATTGGAATGAAGAGTCTCATGGACTTCCCTGCCTGGGCTGGCTTCAAATCGCAACACTCAGATCTCAGCCTCCTGAGTACCTAGGATTATAGGTGTGAGTCACCAGTGCCCAGGTAAGAGCCAGACAACTTTATCTCATATAACCTCTCAGCCTGACTTGAGGCTAGAGAAATAAATGGCCTTCAAGGAGCTCAGTCTAGTAGGGAAATAGTCATAGTCATTGGAAAGTGCTACATTAGTGGTAAGGACCAAATGCTGAAGAGGTCAGGGGATGCTTCAAAAAGGAGGTCATGTTTCAGCTGAGTCCAAAGGAGGGGAACTACCAAGCAGTTAGACCTATGGGTCGCTTGATGGTTCCTTTTTAGAATGGGGCTATTGTCAAAGAGCATGGGACTTTCATGTTCACTACCCAGTCTGGTGGACTTGATGTGGCTCACAAGAGGAAGCTGGACAGTGTAGCTTCAGGAAGACTCTTACAGGAGTCAGTATGTTCAGGGGGCTGAGAATGAAGCATGGGAAGGAGTTTGAAAGGTAGGGTGGATGGTAAGGGAGAGTAGCAGAGAGGGAGAGATTGAGAATATTGAGAAATAATAGGAAAGAAGAGGAGGTGGAGTGGAGAGAACAAAGGAGGAGGCATAGGCTTTGTTTCTCAACTGAACTCTCTAAACTCTATTTCTAAAGATCTCTAGGAAAGGAAATTCTGCAAACTCCTTCACCTCTCACTGCTCAGCTAGAAAGTTTTCTGGTATATTTAACTGAAATCCCTCTTGTGGCAGTTTGAACTTTTTTTTATTCTTTGTATAGACAGAGAAGAAAAGTTACCACCAGCACATATATAAAACCCTTCATATGTTCAAGGACATTAGGTTACCCATTAACCTTCATTTTTATAGGCATAAGTAATCTACCTTCCTAGAATCTTTTCTCTGAGGCTGTATTCATTAATATATTATTTGCCATGGCCACAAATGCCTTACCTTTTCCTTCTTATTGTTCTGCTAGAGCACCCATCACCCCTCCTACTTCATATTCCAGTCCTTCCAATGTTCCTACCACAATATAGTCATGTTAAATGAGTCATAACTGTTGTCTTGAACCCAAGTCTTCAGTTCCTCCTATTGACTTGTTCTGATCTGAGCAGACACACAAGAACTGCAGGCGATTATTCTATTCCATGGATTGTACTAGGTGTTTTATTCCTTCACTGTCTTTTCACAATTTGGGGAAGTTCTAAAAATGGAAGCCTTTTGCCAGACATTATCACTATGTCCTTACTTACAGCAATTTCTTCATTTTTTGTGTCAGTACTAGTGCTTGAACTCAGGACCTGAGCACTCTCTCTTAGCTGTTTTTGCTCAAGCCTGATACACTACCACTTGATCCACACCTCCACTTCTGGCTTTTTGGTGGCTAGCTGGAGATTAGAGTCTCATAGACTTTCCTGCCTGGGTTAGCTTCAAATTGCAATCCTCACATCTCAGCCTCCTAAGTAAATAGAATTCAGTGAGCCATTGGTGCCTGCCTCTAAGGTAATTTCTTAGAATTTTAAATACAATTTATTTACTGCCAAGAGTATACTGTCAGTAATGTGTTGCCAGGAGTTTTAGAGACTTCATGACACTCTCTAAGGTTAAAGTTTTTGCTTTAAACTGTACTGGCTCCAACTCTCTGCTCCCCAGACTCTTAGCCTGGAGAATCCTATCTTAATTTATCAGCTCTTCATTTAAGAATAATGTTTCAGTGGGGGAAAATGAGGGAGGGGGTAACACTGTTCAAAAATGTACTTATTACCTTACTAATGTAACTGTAACCCTCTATGTATATCACCTTTACAATAAAATTAAATCAAACAAGTAATATGTCATGTCCAAGAAACCAAACATTCATGGCAAGATCATTCAAGAAGCCAACTGTCCGTGTCTAACCACATCAGAATTTGGAAATAGAATGCAGATCATTATAGGATTACTGTCTCAGGGAAGCAAAGAAAGCAAGCTCTGTAGAGCATTTCTCATAGTCATTTTAGTAATGAAGACCTAGAGGCATGAGATTTAGAATTTTCCCTGCACTTAGCAGCAAAAGATCAGATCTGCCCAGTTTCTAGATCTAGCCAATTTGAAGATGTTGAACAGGGAAACCATCCCCCTTAGGATTTGGGAAGTTTCCAAATCAGGCTTAGTCAGTTCCCAAGTTTCAATTCTAGCTAGTGTAGTGGAAAGAACACATAATCTGTACTCAGGAGATAAGGAGGTAAGCCCCATCTCTGCCATAGATGTACTTTCCGTAAATCCTTTCCTCTTCTTGAGCCTTAGTTTCTCTATCTGTGAAAAGAGGAGCTTGGCCTTGGTGATTTCTCCATTTTCTCTTGAAATTCTCCATGAGGAGAACTGACCTACCTCTGGCAGTCAGGGAACTTCTCTAACCGTATAAGGTTGCTTCTCCCTCTTCATTTGTTTGGAGGGGGGTATGGAATAGACATAGAGGATGGTGTATGTTAGATCATCCCTGGTCCTACCTATTATTTGCAGGTCTAACAGACTTTTTAGCTATAGTGTGTTCTGTGGGTAATACACCTTCAAGGATGTGAGTCCTCTGTAATTGCTCAATGTAATTGTAGAAGAATTATAGCCAGACACATCTCCATTCCAAGATAATAATGGTTGGTGCATAAACAGAGGATGTTCACTTATGAAGCTGTTAAAAGGCATTTGAGCAAAAGCTTCTGCTACAATCCAGTTCTGCAGCTGGCTTCTGCCTTTCTAGAATCAGAAAAGTGTGCTTTTCCTACTTGTATACTTACAGGAAGTTCAGTCCAAAGAAGAATATGTGTGTGTGTGTGTGTGTGTGTGTGTATACACACACACACATATAAATATAATGACCTGTGGACCAAGATGGTTGAATTCCTTCTCCTGACTTTCCAATGTTAATAGAATATTTCATGATACAAAAGATCAGAGACATTTGCATTTACAATGTTACCCTGTGTAGTCTTAGATGAAAGAATACATTATTCCTTTTTTGTGTATGTGGGTCCTAGGGCTTGAACTCAGCCTGGGTGCTGTCCCTGAGCTTCTTTTGCTCAAAGCTGACATTCTATCACTTGAACCACAGCTTTACTTCTGATTTTTTGATGGTTAATTAGAGATAAGAATCTCATGGACTTTTCTGCCCTGGCTGGCCTCTAGCCTAAGTCCTCAGATCTCTGCCTCCTGAGTAACTAGGATTACAGTTGTGAACCATTGGAGCCTGGCTCACTATTCCTTTTAAAGCTATACTTCATCCAAGGGATATTTCCTTCACCTTTTAGGTAAGTCCCAAATGTTGAAGGGTTTAAGGGAAAGACTGAGGGAGAGAGAGGGAAAGGGAGATAAGAGAAATCCTGATAGTTGTGGAGGTAGGAAAACTCCACTAAACGGTGAAAATTGAGTGAACAATTCAATTTACCTCTTCAGGCATGTGCCTATTCACTGTGTCCAAGGAAATCCATATGAAATGGATTCTAAATCACTTGCAGCCCAAGTAAATGCTTAAGGCTTATGTGCAGTCTTTTCCCAGTAATGTCCCATACACAAGGTAGCAGTGCTGGCTGGGCAATGATATGAGCTATAATTTTAGTATTAAAAGTATGTGACAAGAGTTAAGAAATAAATGTTTGAAAATCAAATTTACTTTCTTAAAAGAGAGTATCTTGCCCAGCCCCTCCAGAGTAAAAAGTTTTTCTCATTGAGTCTACCTTTATGGCTGTTTATTATCCTGGCTTAGTTTGGGTCTTGAGAAGGCCAGGCCCTTTCTCAATATCTTTACAAGAGGAATTCAAGTTTTACCTGTGGACCAGAGTGCTTCAAGGTACCCAAGAACTTCAGTGTTCAGAACACTAGTAGGCTGCACCTAAAAATAGTCTTTTTTGGCCAAGTTTGAAGTAGTTAATTTATTCTAGAAAGCTGCATAATTTTTTTGTGTGATACTGAGGTTTGAACTTGGGGCCTCATATTTGTTATCAGGCACTCTACAACTTGAGACACTCCATCAACCCTTTGTATGTTTTGAGAAAAGATCTCACTTTATGCCTGGGCCAACCTGGGCTTTGATACTGCTCTTGTGTTGCCCTACATTGCTGGCATGACAGACTCATACCACTGCCTAGCCATTGGTAGAGATGGAGTCTTACCAACTTTCCTTCCTCCACACCAGGTTGCCTTGAACCACAATCTTCCATCTCCACCTCCCAAGGAATGAGGAGTACAACCTTGAGTCACTGTGCCCAACATATAAATCTTAACAGAATCATTTCACTTAAAACATTTGAATAAAAAGATCATTAGTTTTACACTATCTTCCTTCAGGCTCCAAATCCAGAGATAAACTTGTTTCACAGTTGGTTCTTTTAGTGCTAAGAAGTGGAGCATATTTTTCTAGTCCTGCCCTTGGAGCCTGTTTTGCCTTTGGATTCTCATTGTTAAGTAAGCAAACACTTCTATGGGTCTTTTTGTCAGTCTCATCTCAGGTACAACGAGGACTTACTGAACCAACAAGAACATAGTAGAACTGTCCAAGTAGAAGCTTCTTTACAAAGGCTAAAGGATCAAAGTAATTCTACAGCCTATTTTTTTCCATCACAGGGAATTTGATAATGATTCCTTAAAGCAAGAAACATCTTCCTAGTCATCTGAGAAACTGAAGAAATCAAATATTGCCATTTTTCCATAGGTAATACACTTTTTTCTCTATAAGGTGTTTTAAGTCCTCCTTCAAACCAATAATGGACTTAATAAAGGAGGAGGGGGAAGGAGAGAAAAAAGAGAGGCTTCAGGAAGAATAAGGAGAATGAAGGAAAGAGATGTAAATGGTATTGTCTGGAAGAGAGAGCAAGAATGAGGGAAAAAAACAACTTATGTGTTGCTAGAGAATCAATTCTATTTTTTTTTTTTTTTGGGTCCGGTCGTGGGGCCTGACCTCTGGGCCTGGGTGCTGTCCCTCAGCTCTTCAGCTGAAGGCTAGCGCTCTACCACTTGAGTCACAGCGCCACTTCCGTCTTTTTTCTTTTTGCTTATGTGGTGCTGAGCATTCGAACCCAGGGCCTCATGCATGCAAGTCAAGCACTCTACCACTGAGCCATCTTCCCAGCTCAATTCTATTTTTTGATCAACCATCACTGAAGAATTATTTCCTGTTCTTTAGAAACTGCAACAGTCAAATGCATCACATTGATGGAATAAAATAATGAGCAATCAAACATTGAAATAAACAAATATGAAATTTTACTTTCTTGATTTTTTCTTTTAATTATTTTTTTAAAACACCATATTTATATAATATTTTTCCTTTATAAAATTGGGAGTTCAACTTACCCTTCTTTTTGTTTTTAACTGGACCTATGAGAAAGAGAAATGAAAATTTAAGTCAGTGGAAAGAAACACAAATTGTTTTTTCTCTAAAGCAGTCACTAAAAGGGTCCCCCAAATACTACAAACTTAAAGATGTCCTACAGCCAAGGGCCAAGTTTTTGGTAAAGAATCTATCAACTATCAGGCCTTCTCAATCAGTCTGTTTTCTGACTGTTGATGCCAAAAATTATAAAGAAATTTCTTCTAGTGGAGGTGGGGAGATATGTGTGAGAGAATGGGACTTCCCAGTAGAGATGAAATGCCCAGAAACGCACAACTCAACAACCTTAGGACGGCATTCCAATAACTCTGCAAGTCCTGAGGTTGAAGAGTTATGCATTCAGGTACAAATCTCATATGAAGTCTTATGGTGAAAGTGGAAAACTTTTTGAAAAGGGCTGTTTTTATAGCAGGGACACAGCAGCAGTAGTTTACTTTTTACTCATTTCCTTATTGTGATTTGTTAGTTATTAAAACAGTGCCAACAATAAAACACTCATGTGGGGGCCATATGTACTCCCAGTGCAATTTACCAGAACTTAATAAATGCTCTAAAGGAGGTGTCAACAGTTTCATCAGCAGTAAAATCACATGCACTTTCTTGCAAATTGCTTTTTTTTTTTGAGCCAGGGTCTTGCTCTATAGCCCAGAATGGCCTTCATCTCAAGATTCTCTTATCTCTGCTTCTTGAGTGCAGGGATTACAGGCTTGTGCAATCATGCCTGGCCTTGAGAATTGTTTATAAGGAAAACAATTTTAATCAATAGAGGGAACCTGGGAAATCTAATTCTTTTCTAATATAGTTAGGCAACAACCACTCCCTAGACACACACAGTTTAGGTTTTTCTTAGTCATTTTCCCTCCTGGGGATCCAATTCTCTTTATTCTGTAGATGGATCTTTCTTTAGATACAGGTATTTAAAATCTGTTCCAAGCACCAACATAGACAATATTATACAACATTAAATTTCTGTCAATGCCCTCATGAGCTCACAAAGAGAACAACAAATAGTTGTATATTATCTTATAATTTGTAAAACATGCTTTGTATATTGTCTCAGTTAATCCTTGCAACAAGTCTGGAATAATATCTACCTATGAAAACAGGCTCTATTAGATGTCAGTAACCATTTCTAACATTTATAGCTTCAAGTGTGACCATCAGAGCTACACCTGCTACTTAAAAAAAACAGTACATGTATAGACTTCCCTAGCAAAGAAATGTGCAACAGTAGATGTCTTAAATTGAGTTGAGCAACTGGCTGTACTCCCAGTCCTTTGTCTTTTTACCCCCTACAGTCTTTATCTTCTTTTAACAGCTTTGCACACACTTGAGAATGTGCATGGTGGTGGCGGCAAGGAAGCAAGCAACTCAACCTGAGAAGGGGGCTCCTCCTTGTCCTCCTTAAACTGCAAAACTACTTAGGAAAGGATTTACACAGAAATGGCCCAGCTCCACCAGCCAGTAGCCAGCTAGCCATCTCAGCCCCCACATTCACCTCAGCAATGGAGAACAGTAGGACAACAGCTGTTGCTGCCATCGTGACCTCATAGCCAAGCTGTTCTGGGTCTGATACAGTCTTTTCTTTTTCTTTCTTTCTTGCCCTTCTGCTAGAGTGTTGTCCTGGAGCTTTTTCATTCAAGGAAAGTGCTCTACCTCTTTGAGCCACAGCACCACTTTTGGTTTTCTGGTGGTTTATTGGAGATAAGAGTCTCATGGACTTTCCTGTCCTGGCTGCCTCTGAACTGAAATCCTCAGACCTCAGCCTCCTAAATAGCTAGGATTACTGGTGCCCAGCTTTCTTGTGCACATTTATATATACATACACACACACACACACACACTTTCATATATATAATAAAAGTCTTTTGCATATGGGCTGGGAAGATGGCTCAGTGGTAGGGTGCTTGCCTTGTATGCATGAGGCCTTGGGTTCAATTCCTCAGCACCACATAAGCAGAAAAAGCCACAAGTGGCACTGTGGCTCAAGAGGTAGAGTGCTAGCCTTCAGCTGAAGAGCTGAGGGACAGCACCCAGATCCAGAGTTCAGGCCCCACGACCAAGAGCAAAAAAAGTCTTTTACATAACATATTACTAGAATTGTTTCTTTTGGATCAGAGTGGGAAAGGCTTTCCTTTTATATATGGTCACTGTCTTCAATCATATATTGTTAGGTCCTGCATAGGGTAATATTATAAAAGTATTATTTTTTCTAGTTTTCTAGTTTCCTTTTTAAATTTATAATTAATCTAGTATAGGTTTTGTGGTAAACAATGTGAGGAAAGGAGCCAAAACTGAAATTTTATTTTCTCCCCAAACGGTAATCACATGGGGAGTACATAAAGAAAAAGGGCTCAAAACCTTTCTTCTACTCCATTTTTGGTCATGGAAAGGCTCTCAGAGACATTGTGTATTTCCCTTGAGAAAAAAGATAATGTAAAGTCATTAGGCTGTATCACATTTCCCATGAGTGCTAATGAGTACATCATCTCAAAAACACAGAGGTAAATCATTCTTATGAGTTTTAAGCCTCTAAGCCTAGGTTCTGTATTTGCTATGCTCATTGCTTCCATTTGAGGCCATTATACTTTCCCAACTGAATGAGAGGAAATGCCAGGAAGCTATATCTACCCTGTATTACACAGAGCAAAACAGGCAACCCTCTTCTGAGTTCTGTAACACTTTAGATGTATTGATTTAGTTTCTACATATGCTTCAGAAACTTGTTCTTACATATTCACTGCACTATCACTATTACAGGTCTATGTCAATGGTAATAAGCTACATTTCTACATCATTCCAATTTCCTCTACTTGTAACCATTATGTTTTCTATAAAAAATGCATCACAGTGGGACAGAAGGTTATGCAGTACCTGGGACTGTTCTGATAGAATGAAAATTGAGATCAGACAGGTTTTGTTCAATGTAGGTGGTCAGTGTGCCTATATGACATTAAGAAAATTGTGTCTCGTAACAGAAGGAGCTAGTTCTAAATTCAACTATAAACTGTAAACTGTTATAAGATAAGTGATTTTTATTCTGATTTTCATTTGCTAAATGAAGAAATACTCTATACACTGTCTCTATTCAAGGTCTAGGATTATAACCAGGAAGGATGATATAAAACCAACGAGCTAGAATTCTGTAGCCAGTAAAATTACTCTTCAAAAAATGAAGGCGAAAGAGACTTTCAGACAAAATTAAGAGAATTCATTGCCAGTAGATCTGCCTTGGAAGAAATATTAACAGAAGTTTCTAAGAAGGAATATGATATAGGTCAGAAACTTGGCTCTCCATAAAAAGGAAGTGAATTTGAGAATGAATAAGAGAAAATAAATAAAAATATTTTGTTGAATCTTAATAAAACATACAACAATTTTGTTCAAAATAATTATAGCAGAAATGTGCTCCATGATTATAATTTATAAATCTGAAAAACAAATTACAGCAATGTCAAAAAGGAGAAGAGGTACACATTGGGAAGACTCTTCTCTAGGGCCCTTGAACTGAAGTGGTAGAGTGTTATTTGAAGGTGGACATGAAATACTTCAAACAGTGGGGAAACCTGTATATTGTTTTTTAAAAAAGGACAAATCATATGCTAATAGAGGAGAAAATAGAATCATAAGATGCTTGATTAAAATCAAAGAAGGCAGGAAAAGAGTGGAAGTTAAGAAAAGAAAGGATGCCGGGCACCAGTAGCTCACGTTACTCAGGAGGCTGAGAGCAGAGGATTGCAGGTCAATGCCAGCCCAGGCAAGGAACATCCGTTAGACACTTATCTCCAATTAACCACTAGAAAACCAGAAGTGGCACTGTGGTGAGCTGAAGAGCTCAGGGACAGTGCCCAGGCCCGTGCCCAGGCCCAGGCCCAGCATTCAAGCTCCATGACCGGAAAAAAAAAAAGGAAAAAAATGTCAGTGACTAGAAAACTACCATGATAGTAGAAATTAACTCTGCTATACAAATAATCACTTTAAATGTGAATGCTGTAAAAACATGAATTAAATATAAAGGCTAATGGTACACATTTGTAATTTGGGTACTTGGGGACCAGAGGCAAGAGGGCCATGAGTCTGAGATCAGGCTAAACTATATAACAAAACTGTCTGAACAAAACAAAACAAAAGAAAAATCAAGCAAACCGTTGCAACAATGAGAAGTACAA